AAGATTTATACTACTTGACAGGAGCATACTGTTTAAATTTATGAGTAATTTAATAAAAATTTAAAAAACTACATGTAAAAAATTATTTATTTTATAATTTAAAATATATCAAATTATAAAATATGTATTATTACTATTAGAGGAAGAGCTTTTAGAAAACTTAATCTTATCTAATAATAAATATTTTATAATTTAATATATTTTAAATTATACAATATTTTATATATAAAAAAGTAAAGTTATTTTAAACTTTTAAAATTTAAAAATAATATAATTAATAATTATTATATTTCATAATATTATAAATTTATAATTATAATATATTAATATATAATTGAGACTAATGCATTTCTTTCGGTGATAATTTTTTCTTCAATGCGTTGTTAGTTTTCTATCTACAACCAGGCAATTCAGTTCTCCAAGACTAACAGCAGCTGAAGTTACTTACAAATCTTAAGATTATAACAATAATAATAATTAAAATAAAAATTTAAAGTGAAAAAATTTTTAATTGTAAAATTTAATGACCAAACTAATGAGCATTAATAAGTGTATTAAATTAAAAAATATACAAATTAATTATTTTTCATTAATAATATTTCATACATGATCATACAAGGAGATTCCTCCTAGATTAGATTAGATATGTTAGCATGTTGCATTATAAGGACCCACTTCCTCACTACCATTCTCCAACACTAGATTATATTATAAGAAAATAATACCTACCAGCTTTACCTCCTAAAAATTATGAGGAAAATCATTTCAAAACTATATCGTTTTAATAAATTTTTATTAAAAAATACTAAACTACTTTATTTTTAAAACATGCATTAAGGTGATTTTTGTCATTTTTTTTTTCCTAATTTTTTGGAAGTAAGATGGACAAGTACTAACCTCATATTATAATTATATCATATATATTGGTTACTATTAATAGTTTAAGATCTCGATTTATTAGCATAAATCTTTTAGTGAAGGGTTAATTAATTACCAAATTAATCATCCTAGAAGAATTTATTTTGGAAAAGGAAAGAATTGCTCTATCTCGATGAAGTGACCTATCCAGGAATGTAATTGATGAGAACGTGGCTACACATTAAAATATTATAATACTATGGTTAGATAAAATTTTAAATACGTTATTTGAAAATATTAAATTAAATTAATTTAATAATTAATAGTTGATAATATATTATAATTATTAATTGATATTTCTTTTGTTATAGGTTTTTTTTATTTAAAATTTATTTTAAAATAATACTTATTTTTTCTTATTTTAAGGGGAGACAACTATTT